CCACAAAACTTTATATTACCAGAGACAAATTTTAACAATTAAATGCAGCAAACTGTTTTTCTTTTAAGTAAATACCAAACAGTTTTCAAAAATGTCTTCAAGCGCAACACCACACGATGCCAAAAGCAAAACACCTGTAGCAACAGCAGCAAGCTCGAAGGATTGAGAAAAAAGCAACAATTTATAAGCAATTAGCACTTAAAGAGAAATCAAAACTACCACACAATCAGTTACTCAAAAAGCCAATTAAACAGCGTAAAAGCCCACAAATAAACCACATAAGAAACCAAGGTTACTAAAACTACGGTATCCTAAAAACCTCCCAACGCTTTAAAGGGTAAGCAGAAAGATTAAAGGGAAATAAGCCAAAGAGGAAAACTGGATTAAAAAAACTAAAACTAAACCAAAAATACAGCAAAGTAACAGAAAACACTCCAGGAGTCGAATCTACTTCATCTGCACGAAACGGCAACTCAAAGACCACTGCACCATGGTGCCACTCATTTTGTGATTAAGTAACTTTGTTATATCAAAACCATTTCGCACCGGCGCGAGTTTCATACCGGGATGACGTTTTGATTTCGCATCGCGTTTACATAATGACAGGGTCATTTCATATCTCGTTATTTAAATCTACAGTTCATGTTGATAAAATACACGTGTGATTCAAAATCGCAAACATTACGCTTGCGCTACCCAGTTCCAGTCTACCAGCAGACCGATTTCATACCGAAACGGGTAGTCATTTCGCGTTTCCATGATACCGTTGCGAGATTTCGTACCGGAGTGAAATTCTTGCCCCGGTACAACAACCAGGGTGAACTCACGCCGGGGTGACTCGCGCCTATGAAACCGCGCCAGTATGACATTTTGTGGTGGTGCCATGTAAACAAATATAGAGCCATGAGAGGGAACTGGAGTGAACTTGCCCCGGTGTCATGTAAACACCCCCTTAGTTTAAGCTGGTACTTCGTTTAACAGGCCAAATGAAGAAAAAAGTCTACTTTTAGTTTTGTAGCTGAATTGTATTATCACAAATTTTTAGAAAGGTTTCTTTTCAACTTCAGAGGTAGATGACAAGTGGCTTTTAGTGAAAATATAGAATGCCTTCGTACAGCCACAGCCAGCAATCAATCCTGCAAACATCCATTTCTGAAATACCCTTAAAGAAAGGATTAAAACGATACATGTCTGCAAAAATGTTCGAGGGAGCGGGAAATGGATATTTACTTTGTACTGGACTATAAGGTCCTAGCTGAAGATCCATCCTTCTAATTTATGTTCAAGATCTTACGAAGTAGTCCAAGAGAGAGAAAAATTGGACCTGTCCAGTTACTTTCTCTTAATCCGCTCAAATGGCTCACAAACTCGGGGAAAGTTTCTCGTCTTACAATGTATTTCAAGGACTGATTGGTCAGGTGATTACTGGCGTTTCGACTAGCAGCTTTTAATATACTAACATACACTCACGCAATTCATACCTTTAGAGTGCTTTCAGATAATCCTATCAAGACTATTGGGAATCAGGCTTTCAGTATCCCAGAGAAACCACATAAGAAGGTCTTAATGTAAGTATAAAACGATTTGTATTGTTTATGAATGGCTCATAACTTGCGATCAAGTAGTAGTAGTTAGTACCAGTAGTAGCAGCAAAGCTTTATTTGAAATCGGGTAGAAGAGTAGCACATAAGCGCTAGTATCTCCTAGAGATACCTTTAATTACGCAGAATAATGTCAAATTATAAAAAATATTATGTCTGTCTGGATTTGATAAAAGGCACCTCCAGAAATTTTTAGCAACAGTCTCACTTGAGGCTTGTTCAGTACTTGACCATCCATTTTTTTAATGATCTTTTCAGTACAAAAACCCCCTTAAAAGCTGCAGTAGATCAAAAAACATGTGTTTAATATGCTGTTTACATCTTCCGCCCCCCCCCCCCCATCCCCCCCCCCCCCCCCCCCCTTCGAAGCTCTCCCCTACCTATCATTTCCCATGATTCTCCCCTTGTCATAAAACACTATGACATTTGAAATCATCGCGCGCGGTAGAAGTTGTTTTACGTGGTCGGTTAATTTTCTAGGTTTCTTTTTGGCCGCTTGCAGCAAAGTTTTCCGGAAGGCATCATTAAGCCTTCTGAAGGAACAAGTCTCACGATTGGCAAGATCTGCCATCGTCCAATATGCTACCGTATTTCGTCTCATTTTGGCTAAACGTGTGAAACACTGATCTCGGGCTTGAGACGGAAAGGCATCATATTGCTAGCTTTGATGTGGGCGGCGACGAGTCTCTGGCCTCAAAAAGTAGCTTTTAGGGGTCAAAACTATTCGGCGAGAGCAAAATTGATGCTGATTTCTGACCAGGCCGGCGTCCATGTGCCCCTTTCAAAAAGGCTCGTCTACATCCGCGATCTTGAATAAATCGACTGTGTCAGCAAAGTTTACATGTGATGATTTAGTGGAGAAAGCGAGAGTTATTGAGAGAGAGAGTAATGTGATGATATTTCGCCCGTATTAAGTGTGGACACATTTTGTCTGGTTGGTTGTGGATAGTTTTATCAGTGCCACGAGCGGGGTTAATTGTGTGATTTCCTGAAGTTGTTGACAGACAGATTTCAGGTATGTCGTGGCGCTCGTGTTATAAGAATATTGTGTACAAGCATGAAAACGCTTTGTAAGTGTTTAGTTGAAGTTATTTTGTCTTAGGCAACCGATTGTGGGGTCAAGAAAGGTGGATTCTAGGTCTGTTTTAGTCGCCATCTCGCTATGAGCCTCATAGTTTAAGAGACTGAAAGGTCATTATTTCTGTGCTTCTAAATGTTGTTCATTTCGTTACAAATCTGTCGCTTTTGCCAAGAGCAACTTTTCGTGTGTTGCCAGCGATTAATTCGTCCGTTTTAAGCCGTAACTAGCGACTTTTAACTGCTTTTAATTGACCTCAAGGGTTAAATTGTTAAAACGCATTTGAAATTTCTGGAGGTACCTTTTATCAAATCCAGGCAGATTTATATACATGCTAATCAAAAAAGTAAGAATAAGTAATCAAGCTAGCTCACAAAGTTCAGACAAGCGAACATTGATTGTAAAGTGAGCCATGGTAGCGGTAGCTCTAAGATCATGAAGATGATGTGAACTGCCAAAATACAAATTTTGAATGAGGATTTTATCGTCGCAATGGTTATTGCAAGTTAAGCATTGCAAATAAACCCAACAAATTTTGCGGGACTTCAACGGGACTCGAGCCCATGGCCTCTGCGTTAGCGCTGCGGTACTCTACCATTGAGCTATTAAGACCCCATCCTCGGAGACCCAGAGGGGAAGTCGGGCCGGGAGAAAAGGCGCGACGAAAGTTTTCAAGCATGGGACCATTTCCAAACGGTCAAGCAAATGCTGGCTCCTGATTGGGCACAAGAAATGCTTTGTATTAGTGTGCCCAATAGGCGAACAGCATCTCCTGAGTTCTTTTCGTGAGTTCGTACACGACGGCTATTCACTCGATCACGGCTTGTCTGGCTCATGCACCAAAGAAATGCACGTTGTCAGGAAACTTTCAGTTTGATATAAACTCTTCATTTCAAAATACTGTCTACCCGAAAACTAAAGACGCTTTTCCATAAATACAAGCTTGAGATTACAACAGGTATTCAAGCTTGCATCGATCACGCCTTCGTAAATATTAGGGAGTTTAAGATGCCACGGCAGTTGACAGCCACGAAAACGTCGCATGAAAAGTGAACTCACATTTTCTTCAGTCTCTATCGTGATTATTCCAACTCGCTTGCTTTGTCAAATGCAAGCGAACTCTTCTGGAGCTGAATTTCTATCAACCATATTCAAGTTCATAAAGAGAAAGAAAATTTTTTTATTGCTTGTTTACGTCCTTCACAAAACGTGAAATTAGGCGTTTTCACGCGGTAGTCGAGCAGTGGAGGCAACGAAAAGTACAAAAAAGCGTTATGCACGTGCAAAGTTGTTGTTTTGCCTTGTCAATTGCTTTTTTTACTTTCTTGTCGCTGCTGCATCTTAAACTTCCTACTATTTACGATACATTGTGATCCGTCAGAAACAAAATTTTCTCAGTGCAAAATGCTCATGCTGATAGCATCCGAAACGTTTTTCAACTCATCGGTAGTTCCTTCGTTTCTGGTTAGGAAAGCTTGGTGAATGAACCGGGCAACTGTAGCGAGATAATAGCCCTCGTGTAAGAAATCTCGAAAAAAACTCAGGAGAAACTGTTCGCCGATTGGGCACAGTAATGCAAAGCATTTTTTGTGCCCAATCAGGAGCCAGCATTCGCTTGACCGTTTGGAAATGGTCCGGTAAGAGTCGGTACCCAGGGGATCTTCGGCCCATGCTTGAAAACTTTCGTCGCACCTTTTCTCTGGGCCCGACTTACTGCCCCTGGGTCTCCGAGGATGTGAAGACCCCCACGTTGAGAGCAGACCAATTTGTTGAGTTAATCTTAACCCGTGAAAGGAATGAGACATGAAGATGATGCGAACTGCAGAAATACAAATTTCAATGAAGATATGATCGCCATAGTGATTATTGTAATGTAAGTTAGCGCTGCAGTGCTCTAGCATTTGAGCTATGAAGACCCAATCATTGGGAGCAGGCCAATTTGTTGAGTTTATCTTAACTCGTGAAAGGAATGAGACATGAAGATCATGGGAACTGCGGAAATACAAATTTTGAATAAAATTATGATCGTCGTCTAAACTATTTTATAGTTTGGGTGCTAAAAATTTGAAAGAGGGTGTGCCATAAAAGGTGGTATTGACACGTGGCAATTGTGAATTGTCTTTACCTTTAAGCTGATTGCTAATTCAAGGTACAAGTAGTGCTGATATGTAAGTAGGTGTGACAGCTTAAAAGGACTTCAAAAGAATTAACATTAAGTAATAATTATGGGAACAAATAGTAGTGGTAATACAGTAGATGATACCAACAAAGGTAAAAGGTAATAAAAACATTTCAGTTAACTTTTCGTTCTTTGCAGCTTCATGATTCGCACTCAGTTAAAAGCAGTGAGCCTCCGAGTCTTGTCTTTTCATGATTTTTGTAACCTAAATTCCGTCACGTAAGTACGATTGGTATATTATCAGAACTGTTGTAGAAATTGGCCAAATACATAACAGAGGGAGTTCTGCATCTTCCTTAGCAATAGCCCCACAAAATATGTAAGTATAAGGATGTATATGGTAAACATATGCACTCGCTGTCATTTTATCAGGAATCACACTCGTTCACTGCGCTCACTCGTTCAATTTAGGATACGTTAATAGCTTGCAATTGTGCAACACCGTACGAGCACACTTTTCATGAAGTATTCTATATAAAACTCAATTATTGGTGTCCTTGCTATCAGTCGCTTCGCTCGTAGGGAATCGGGCTTTGATATCAATAAGAAAGACTTAACTATCCATTTTTGTTTTCTTTTGTAGAACCATGAATGATGGTAAAATTGGTACCATGAAAGTCTTGGATTCATTTCAACGAGAGCGCTGCACTATTTATCTGTTCGTAACTTTCTTTAATACCGTAACAAATATTCTAATATGCGGTTGCATTGTCTTTGACCTTCATTTACTGAGTTACTTTAGCTCCATGCATCAACCCGATGTAAACTATGCTGAAGAGATGAAGTTAAATTTTGCCGAACCCATTTTCTCAACTCGCATCGTGAGGTATAGGTGAATCTGGATTTTTGTCCCTTTTCTGTCTCTTTTTTTATATACTTATCATTCTCTGGTCAAACGTTTATAAATATCACCCGTCTTGATGTTGAAAGGGCGTTGCAATAGAAGTCGAACCTCTCATAAGCGACCACCCAAAAAGCCAAGCTATAGTGGTCGCTAACGAGAATCGAACCAAAAGTGGTGGCTTCCGAAAAGATCTACCTTTTGGAAGGGAATCTTTGCAGGGAACTTCTAAGGTACGATCAGTGTTCTCCCATTACGTAGATATTACTTGCAAAAACCTGAAAATTCCACAGACTACCGGCTAAGTTTAGCAACCTCGGCTTTAAACTTGTGAACTCAATCCAGATATATCTTCTTTCTTTATTTCATATAATTATGAGAATATATCTAGCCGATTTTTTGAAAACCAGCCTAACGAAATTTGCAGTCATTTGAGTGAAAAAGCGTCAAAAGGCAGGTTTCTTAAGCCCGAGAAGCTCCAAAATCATAGTAACGAAGAAAAAGGAGAGGAGAAAAAGAAAGAGCGAGGAGAAGGAAAGGAGAAGAAGAAGAAAAAAGCAATAGTTGCACTCTTAGTTTATATAGTAGCTACTTTGGAGATAGTTTTTGGCCGAAAAAAATTGTTCGACACAAAAGGTCCATTTGGCGATAACGTTATCAAAAATCCGGCTAGATGTATAATTAAGCAATTAAAAGTGCAGTTACTAAAAGCCATCAAATAATACAAAACACGTTCGATCAGTAAGATTTACTGATCTCTTGAACGACCTTTATATCAATTTCTTACATTTTATAAAAGTTTTTTACTGAAACATTTATATCTTTCAATTTAGCGGCTTGGGTCAAGATAACTCTACTTCCCTTGACCTTCGGAAATATTCGGGCAATCACACAGCACTACGCGATTCATTTAAGCGAGCTGGTTTTGCGGATGCAACTCTCGATGAGTACAATTTACGACCATGTCCACTTGGTACTTTTGTCAATGCAAGTCGTCTAGACTGCGTCGAATGTCCCGCAGGTAAAATATATATTGTGTTACATGATTATTATCAGAGCTTTTTCTTGTCTTATGGTGATGATAAATTTAAATCACAAACAGGAGTGGTAGAATTCGAGTTCTGGCGTTTTACTGACTTCGACAATAGAGAGGTTAAGCATCACGTTTACGTCTAATGGCAAACGCGAATTTGAATCACGTGACTAAGTTTCCCAACAACAACATATCCTTTATTTAAACACGACACGATTTAAAGGTCAAAGCTTGTGGGGTCGTGTAAAAGCAATTACAAATGAATATAGAACTATAATAAAAATAGGGATAACGTTACTCACAAAATACAACTACAACAAAAACTCTAAAAATATACAGTAAGATTTTAAAAAAGGTACAATTTTAAAATGAATTTACATTAGTTACCACTAAGTAACTTGACTACAGCATTTTAAACATAAAACAGTTAAAAACATTTAAACTCTTGGTTGTGTCTAAGCAGCGACTGGACCGACTGTGCGCTAAAATCAAGTTCCTTAAAAGAAGAGTCCTTCTTCACTTTGCGATAAAAAACAGTAAACTGGCCTGTAAGATGAGTCGAGAACCGTGTTCCAAAGAATAGCGCCCCTATAGCTAATAGAGTTTTTAAGATACTGCGAGTTAAAACGCTGGGCAATTATGTTATTACTACTTCTGAAATTGTACTCAGTGCAAGATGTATTTGTCAAGTATGATAGAGCCGCAGGTGCTAAACCGATAAACACGCTATGGAGTAGTTTAATTAATTAATAATTTTATAATATAAGATTAAAGTATTCCAATTCAAATTTCTGTATACTTCATCAGTAGGCACACCGCAGGGCAAGTTGTATATTATTCTGGCTACCCTACAGTCAAGTACTTCCAGTGAATGTAGAAGGTCCGCATTAGGGCATCCGCCCCAAAACAACCAAGTCCATACAAAAATGATGGTAATATTATCTTGGAGTACAAGTCCAATAGGGCGTTTCTGCACAAGAACGAACTCCTTTTCAGTAGCTTCAGTTTGTTTACAAAATTCTCTTTTACATCTGTAAGGTGATGTGACCAGGAAAGCCTGTCATCGATAGTAACGCCTCTCCAATAGACATAGAATTTAGCCGCCCGAAGTGCGGTTTTGTCATCAATAGCATAGCTTTGCACTTTGCCGAGTGAGGAGTTAAAGAGTTCTCTAGGCACCAACTGTTCAGTTCCGATAAAGCTTTGTTTAAAGAAGTGACAGTGTTATTAACAGTGTCCCCAATGCAATAAACGGTGGTGTCCTCCACTCACATAAAGACGGAGCCAGAGGTAACAGCACTTGGTAGGGCATTGGTGTACAAGGTGAACAACGTTGGGCCAACACTTTCCCTTTAATTGTCGTTTACTTTTCATTATTTCAACACATAAATTGGTAGTTTCATGCAATTTTTTATCCATAAGAATTGTTTTGAGCTGTTTTTATCTGCTCATTTTCTATTTTCAGAAATTCTCAACTTGAATCTGACGTTCGCCGCTTACCGTATACTTGATGCTCAAACTCTCTTCTGTCTCTATTCATAAAAACGCAAAAACTAGTACTAACTTTACCAGTATCCAGCCAGCCACGTTTATTGGACTCTTAATACGACCAGATGCTAGCTTTTTTTTCGTACGCCATGCAATAGTAAAGTACGTCCAGAGAAACCAATTATACTACGGGAATTCTACGTTATTTGTAGGTCATGGAATTTAAAAACGAACGTCGGACCAAAAACCAAGGAACCCGGCAATTTTACCCCAAACTAACTACTTCTTGTCGGCTCTGTAGATCCATTTTGCTCATATTTTGGGACTACAAAATTAAATTTGTTTCAAGGACACTTTCACTCTGATTACACTTTCTTATAGGAGGCTTCTATTCGGATACCATAGCGTTTGTCAATGACAGCTGCCTCAGATGTCCAAATGGAACTTTTGTCCCATACAGTAAGGCGCCTGGCAAAAGCGCCCGTGAGTGCATTGCTTGTCCGCAAGGTAGGCATATTTTATAGTCAAACCCAGTCAAACATAGACCACACAGATTATATTGATAGTGGCAGGGGTATCAAATTCAAATCTGTATGCTTGCATGCTCAATGGGCAGTGAATTTCGCGCTGCAGATTCTCAGCATTCTATCAGATCAAGAGAAATCGTCTTCGATAGCTTTTGAATAAAATTCTTTATCAAACTCAAGAAGGAAACAAGATAACTTTAACCATCTGCTGGTGATTTTACTGCTCATTGGATGCTAGTAAGAATGATAAGAATCACCACAAGACTTCAAAATGTCAACGTGTCAAAATGGCTACAAAATGGCTACAAAAGTACGAGTGTTCTGATTGGCTGCTAAGCTGGCAAACGTTTCTTGTAATGACCGGGCATTATTCGCTAGGTGTCCAAGGCATATACAATCTGTTTAACTTGATAGTGGACATCCATGTTATGGTCAATTGACAGCTGTGAAAAAGGTATCCGCTGCCCAGTGTCGCATGTCTGTATCGCGGGCTAAAGTGTACAATTCATTGAGGTGACTTTTTTTTAAAAGTTATGTACCGACCAGATATTGGTTTTAATTGATCGTAGGCTCAATTACTTGCGGTGTTATTCATTTAGAGCGCTAAATGACCGCTTATTAACCTCGTCCGTTCGGTCATAACAGGGATTTCCCTGTAATGACCTCACTCTCGGTTAATAAGTTGTATATGAATTCATCAGTAGAATCTATGGTGGTTCGCTTGACCTGGCTTGATTGTAATTAGGAATTTAAGAAGAAGGAGAATTCAAACATCAGAAAGCTCAGAAAAATTTTCCTAGCTCCAGGTGAGAATCAAACTCACGACCTAGTTAGAAGATGGAATGTCAAAAGTGTACAGAAACTGCGTTATCCCTGTTACCCTGTTCGAAGTATCTGATTACGTTGGTGAAGTTTAGATAAAACTGGTCAGAAAATGAAGGTGG